TGAGTCAGTCGTCAGTATCACGAGACAAACCTGAACAAAATCCAAGAGCAAGAACATGAAAATAACATTCAACACCCTTCTTACAGTTCTAGATCTGCTAATAAGACAGATCACAAAGACGTCACTTTCAGATTAGGATCCAAAAAGAGCATACACATCTTCACAAAATGCATTTACTTGCCATATAACACACTTGGATTGAAATGAGATTTGCACTTAGAAAAAAATTTTTAAAAAAACCCCCAGCATGAGAATATTCCCTCTCACATTTCTCCAGAAAATTTCCTCTTCAAAACGCGACAAATGAAGAGCACAGAGATTCGACCTAGAAAAGCATTCTTCTCCTCATGATAACCTGTAGTTTTCTGTATTTACACCGAAGCAAATGAGCAGAAGTCTTAAGAAATTAAACGCTTCAGAGCGCTAGAATTAAAACATAAGCAATACAATTTTTTAATTTCAGTATTTTAAAGTACAGAAAGTGGAAACTATGAATATCAAATACAAATTTAAACAAAGCCACTTGTCCTCCCCTAGAATAATCAATGTGAACTACTTATAGAAACTTACAAATTTAAAGCAAAATCGAAACAAAATAAATACTGTACATACACTTTCCCTGCCTGCAGGCAAAAGAGGATGGGAAATACTGTTATGAATTGAAAAAAATGCTCTTAAAGCTGCAGCATCCCATTTCCCAGCCAAATACTTAACACAGTAGTGCGTTTCTGTAAAAAGGAAGACACACACACACACACACACCAACCCCTACTGAGCAGACAAGCTAAGATTTTCAGACATTAGAAGGAAAGATAGAAATTAGACTATGAGAGTAGATAAAGGAGAGGAAAAGACAAACGGGCCAGCAAAACGTTACTACAAAACTAGTAAATATAGCCAAGAACTAGCCCCCTTTTTTTTTTTCTTTTCAAATTCCATGGATTTTTTTTAAAAAAAAAAAAAAAAAAAAAAGATTCCCCAGAGCATTGGCAGCAATAGACATTTCCCAGCAGAAGTGACAATACATATCAATATAATCTCTTAAAGTGATCCCTTTCATTCCCTTCCCACAGCATGAAACTCTTATGGCTTAATTTATATTAAAAGTAGAAAAAGTCTTGGGTTTTTTTTGTTGGGGTTTGTTTATTTTTTTCCTCCCAAACAGAAATGCAGCCTAAGAAGAATATGCATTTCCTTATCAGTGCTACTTAGATTTCCCATCCACTGCATGACTTATCACTCATACACTCCCACAGAGGGTTACTAGGGTGTTTTGTTGGGGTTTGGGTTTGGTTTTTTTTTTGGAAAAATGGATGTTGCAGCTTTTAATCCTGTTTAACCACAAACAGTAAGGCCCTTGGTTATATTTAGATTTCTTCTGTGAAAGAGCAGCTCCAGGCTCACTCAACCTCAGAGCCACCAACAGCTTTTAATGGTCTGGAAGTATCATGTGAATGAAACTCTGGAAAGACACTAGATTTGGGGGTCATGGTGGGGGTCTAAAGGGACAGGTGGGCATGTGGAGCCTAAACAGGGCACTAGTTATAGGCTTGGAGTGCCAGGTCATTCTAGCTTCAGCTCTCTGCTCAGTCTCTACAATTACCAAAAAGGGGTTGTAGCAAGATTCACATCAGCTCCACCTCCGAAACCCTGCAAAAATGGTCAACAACTTGATGGCCTTGTGAAAGACGGTACCTTACGCCCTATGGCAAAGCCTAGGGAAAGCTGAAGCTTCTTAAGTGGGATCATGACACTGTGCTCTCTACTAAAGCTAACACAAGTACTTCAACCTCCAAAGAAATAATACCCCCAAAATCCCCCATGTGATCAGAAAGCAACAATTGTAACTCTCAACATCTAACCCTTTCAAAATTGTCTTTAAGAACAGATTCATGTAGAGTATTATAGGTTGCATAGGTAATCTACCTCAGAGGTCAACAAAGGCTACCTTGTAGCCAGGGTTCATTAGCAAATATAGTACAAAAAAAGGGAAAGTCGCTGGAAGAGTCTTTCATACAGTTTCTAGGTGGTCTTTCCATTTTCATGTTTGGTTGGGGTCTCTTTCCTCTATTGCAGGAACGTGGAACTTAAGAGAATGGGAAAACCCCTACAATATTTAATTTCCTACTGTTCTGTCTACAAAGAAAAAGTAGGTTTTATGCCAAATCCAAGTTCTCTGACTTTTTAAAGATTATCCTTGAAAACGAGTTACCATAGCAGGCTTAATTCTCTTCGTTGTCCAGTCAGTGTTCCCTACTCCCCCCCTCTTCCACCCCAAGTGAGACAGCAAGGAGAAAAACAGGGCTTTCTCTCTCCACTACAAAAACACAGGGTTCAGTCCATCTACAGAAAGATTGGTGCAGTAGTGTTTTCATCTAGAACACAACAGAAATATCTCTACACACAAGTACACAAAACAAGTGAGGTCACCACATCCTCTTCATGAGCTACCAGGAGACTTTTTTTTTCCTTTTCTTTCTTTTTTTTTTTTTTCTTTTTTTTCTTTGCTTTGTTTGGTTTTTTGGGGGTTTTGGCTTTTTTTTTTTTTTAAATACTGCTCATCATGGCCATTTCTTGTAAATTGCTTGTTCTGAGATGGAACATCAGAATTAACTTCTGCTGGAAGCATGGATATCTGAAGAAAATGGGAATGAACCTCTGCCTGTTGACAGCCTGTGAAGAGACTATTACATAAATTCATGACAGCGGAGAGCCACTTGGAAAAAAAGGTAGAAAGTAGAGGAAAGAAAGAGTAATAGAAAGAAGAAATAATATACATGGGTCCAGCCACATCTGTGTTCCAATAGTCATACACAGACAAATAATGCGGATGGTCAGAAAAGAGACTTTGTGTAAGCCAGTCACATGTACAAGAAAGCATACTCCACATTTCAAAATTCCTTACTCCAGATTCTATTCTGGCATACTTGTATTTCTGACAAGTGTTCTCAAAAATCTGCCCTTAAGGAGACAGTGCTCATCCTCCATTCTGCTCTGAATGCGACTGCTGCCCTAAACATGTATTTTCTATTCTTAAAAATTATACAGCCAGCAAAGGAAAGAGTTTGGTTCAACACGCTAAAGCTAAAACACATTCCAAAGCCTGGAAGGCATTAATCCACTGGCTCAAGCTTAAACACAGAGAATATTTATATGGGTATATAATTTTAACTAATATTGCCAACACAGTTTATTTCTTTGACTTTGGTGAGAACATATTGGAAGATAGTTAAAATATCCTCTTTTCACTATTTTCCATCTGGAAAACATAGCACCTGAGAACAGAGAGTACTTATTTTCAGCACCTGTAGAGTACCTCTTAGCTTATCTTCTGCTTCTTAGAAAGCCTTTGTTACCTCTGTTCTCAATAGTCTAAAACAAGGTTGACAGCTTGCATTAAATTAATTAAATAAAAACTGAAAATACGCTTTTGTGAAACCATAATTAGCAAATAAAAAAAAGTTAAAAAAATTCACACGTACACACAGACAGAAAACTATAAATTCAATACAATGTAAAGGCAGGGCTGCAAAAACCACTTCTCAGTTATAATTCTCAAGCTCCAGGGGAAATAAAGCCATCAAAGCCACCTGACATAGATGCAGCTGCATTATGTTTTGATGTTTCTCAATTTAGAAACAGGATAACATAGTGCAAAATAGTTTTGACCCTGCAACAATCAAAACCACCTGACACCAGAACAAACTCCATAAATTTGTGAAGGTATTCTTAATCTAGCCTAGATAAAAATAACTCTACGCAAATATTCTGGAAAGTCCAACTGAATTTCTTCTGAAACCACAACAGAAGAAAATTATTCCAGTATAGAATATGGAGGAAGGAAAAACTGGTATGGAAAGTAAACCAATTCACTGACTTGGATAGCTACGCCTGAGTATTTTCCCTCTTAACAACCAAAAAAACCCCAAACCACCAACAATATTGTTGTCACTAGCATATTAACATTTTCATTTTGGCTGGACCCTGCAAAATGCCCTATTCCCAGAATCAAGTCAAAGCATTCCCCTTTCCGCCTTCGTCCCCATCCCCCAAAAGTTAAATATTTAATTTTATATTACAGAAAAATACAAATTTAAAATCAAAATTATTTACAATAATTCAGAATCGGCATTTGCTATCAGCGCTGTACGAAGCCTGACAGAAATGATCATTCTGATACCAGTAAGCTACTTAATGTTCATATATGCACCAGTTAAGACTTTTAATTGGCTGCCTCGTCCAGCTTTGAAAGCAACACACGTTCTCCTGCCTTCCTGACTCTTCAGTAAAATGTGTTTAAAGTACAATAATATTTTAATGCTTCTTCCATGCTACAATAGGTAATATGTCAAATCTTTAGACTGCAATGTGTATCTTATGAGTTATTTCAGAGTAATTGTTCTGAAGAAACATTTATCTTAACTGATGTCCCCGTTCCTCCAAAAAGACTTATTAGAGGTTTCCCTCCTTTGTACCAACTCTTGAATAACCTGTACCAATACAATTTCAGGGAGCCTTCCGACAGGAGAAAACCATCATAGACAGATCATCAGGAGGAAAAGGACCCACTTCAATTTGGAGGAAAGGGTGCAGTTTAAAACAAGTTAGCTACTGGACCGACGTAAGAAGATTCTTCTGTCTTTAGGAGTCTCTTCTAGTCCATCAAATAAATAAGTCTGTATAAAAGAGGACAGATCAAAAAATAATCAAGCTGGCAGAGAATATGCAACTTGCAAGTCAACAGAAGCCCAGCCAATAGCTTACAAAAAGCAGGAAAAAAAAATAAGATTCCATATGCCTTAATTTAAAAAATAATTAATAATGCATCTCACCCCTATTTAAGACTATAACCTGAATATCAAATTTAGGAGTCCAGACTAATCACAATTAATGTGGCTCTCCACTGCACCAAACATACATTATCAAAACAATTAAAAACTTTCACATTCTTAAATCTAAATTAATAACCCACACAAAAAAGTCTTCCAAATAAATAGTTTTTTTAAATGAATTTAAAAGTTGTCAAAATCTATCAGAAATAAATTATTGATAAACCACCTTCATTTTCTTCCCCTCATTAATTAGGTCAGAAACTACCAGCAACAAATGATATTCAAGCCCTGATGAGAGACTATTTCCCACAGTCCATGTCTCTCTGAAGATTTCCCTATTCCCATATGGTTATTGCTGAGCAGGTGTGGCACAGTGAAAATGCAGCATTGGGTTGGGTTTGTGGTTTTTTTTTTTTTTTCTCAATTTTGTTCATCAGGCAGTGTTTTATACGGTACATGCATGTCTGCTTCAAGCAGAGGAATAACAGCAGCTCCAGGCTCTGTTGACCTCAATACTGGTCTGTGTAGGAAAGACAGCAGTAGTAGAAGTAGCAGCTACATTAAACGAAGAAGCGAGCATGGCCATTCCGGTTCAGCTTCAAGATCTTCCCAAGGCGCTGTTTAGCTGTTGCCATTCCTTTCTTTGGACGCTTGCCTGAAAAAGGAAATCAAGTACTTCAATCAGGAATTTCGGAACCGATTTTTATCATCGCAGGACAAAGATGAAACCAAGCTTTCTGGCTGAAGCAGGCAAATTTTTCACCTGAATCAGCTGCAAGGGGAAAAAAAATAATGAATAAACTTTAAAAAAAGCTCTTTGTTTGTCTGTTTGGGGGCAAACAAATGGAATCAGAACTGTAAAAAACAGGAATTGTTTTCCCTGAACTCTGGTTAGCATTATCAAAAACAGAGTGATTATGTTATTTACAAACATTTCCAGCCTAGGGAAGGGCAGTGGCTGTGGCAGGGGAGAACATAAACTGAGCTTCCTGAATTTTGCTCAACTGAGTTATTCCCTTGAGTAAAAGGTAGAAAATAAAAGAGAGAGTAAACACTAAATATTACGATCACCAGACTATTTTTTGAAGCGTCACAGCTTTTCAACCTTCACTTCCATAAACACTCCTGATTCAGGCCAGGGTTTCAGAGTATAGCTGTGGTCTGTTCCCCGTCCTAAATGCGTAACATACAGAGGTGCAATGGTACCTACGGAAGTTTCATCTGCCACACACCCGCTCAGATCTCTGCCTCCACACATTCTGTGCCAGAATTTAAGCGTTCACAAGATGCCCATTTTCTATTTTTCCTCAAGCTCTAAGTCTGTCCTTTTTTCAGTTCCTGCATATAAGAGCTTTCTGATGCCTACCAGCCCCTTTTCCTAGTCTTCACATACTCAGGCACACACCCTGTCCCCCCCCCCGGAAAAGGGCAACACAGCTGACCGTTACCTTTTGTCGCCTGGTTGCTGATAGGGGGTGGATTTGATGCTGGCCTCTTTGTTGGATGAAGTGGTAGAGACAGGGATGTTTCACCATACGGCCTGTCAGGGCTAAGGCTGCCATCACTCAGCCGACATTCTCCTTGGATTAGGCTGGAGTCTCGTGTACACTTGCCATGCTGAAAACTCAAGCCGTTGCTGTGGACTACACTTCTGTTTTCCTGAACCTTATGACTGACTTCTGACGCGCTCTCTTTCTTGACATATTTTTGAGTTTTACTTGTATCCTAGTATGGAAAGAAAAAAAAAAAGGAAATTAATACCTTCTGGCTACAAGTTCACTCCTGTTTTACTATTTATACTACTGTATCTTAGCAAAAGATATTTCAGTTCCACCAGTGTCTGACCACTTTACGATTCCATCATTTCTTTTAGTATAAATACCTTGTAAAAGTAAGATACAATATAGCACCTCTGTGCAAGCTTTTTCACATGCACGTAGAGGCAATGCTACAGATCAATTACACATACTAGTGTACTCAATTTCTCTAACTTTTGGGTTTACTTTGCAGTGATCAAAGCAAATGCAACTGCTCTTGATTAAACTGGCCACTGGGGCAACTCATAGCATAACCATTGGCCACTTAAACAGGCAATTTGTTTTCAGTATTAAGGTGATGAGAGAACGAACGCTAAATTGGGAATGACAAACTCTAAGGAGCATCATGTAGTTAGATATTCTTTAAAAAAGAAAACCCAAAACTACAAAGCGTGCAGTTAAAATACACCTATTGAATAGCATTGTTCTTTTGCAACTTTAATTGTTTTATTTAATTGTTCTAACACATCTAATGTAGACAAGTTTAGAAATACTAAGGGAGCTCAGAGTTAAGACACACAACCTTTCATTTATATATTCCTTGCTGAATTCCACCTGGACATCAGAAAGCAAGAATATTCCTACCTGCTGGCTGTTGAAAGGTTGTATCAGTTGGGTAGTACCACTTTCCTAAGCAAGTATCTTTACTATAAATACCATGAACAGGTTCCACTTGTTCTGATGCTCTGGTTGGGAACAACAACGCATAAACAACGCAGTGCTTCCCCAGTTAGACTGAAGGTAAAGCCACACTTTTTATACAAACTATTTTTTTATTTTTCAAGATACTGCACCCTGAGCACTAGCCACTATGACAGCAGGGAGTCTGAAAGGAAAAAAAACCAGCAACTATGAAAAAAGGCATGACAGAAATATAATAATCTGTTACCAGCACCAGAATTCTCTATTATCAGATATGCAGTGTGGAAAGACCTGTCCGTCACGCTTTCTGTATTTATACCTTCATGACCTGTTTTTCCCATAAAAATGTGTTCAAAACACTTGGCTTTACCTGAGGGGTAATCCTTGAAGCTTCACTCAGGTGTCTCGACCATGCTGAAGTCCCCAAGTCTCTTTCCTCCTCCTTCACAGACCTACCTAAAGAGAAGTTCAACAAGCTTAAATTTTAAAATCAGTAACTAGGAATACAAAGGTAATTATACATTTGAGTAACTTTTAAATTAAAACAACAAAGAAAGGAAAATACAATGGAAAACATTTCTTAAACACAAAATAAAAGTTGTCAAAACTGCTCCGTTCTACACACTAACTTGGGAAAACAATCTCACAGTATAAATACACCTAATTAAAGATCCATACACCAGAGTAAGAAGGTCAGACAAATGTAATTATTCAAATTTGAGAGTACTGATGGTGAACACAGCTTACTTTGTTAGGCTACAGTTTTCACTTTTCTACCATAGCTTTGTATCATGAGGAGTTCAAACATAACTGGACATTGTAATTTTCAGATATTATGGACTGTATTGTTCCTAAGCACTGATGTGCTATCCAGGCCCAACATAGGGAAGATCTACGCTGACAGGCCTATAGGAAACGTGTCCACATTGAAAATGCATTTACAATACAGCTGACTTGTTAAATTAAGGGTATCCCAAGACACCAATTCAATTTGAATTTGGGGAGACCAAAAGGTTTTTCAAAACCTGCTGGCCAAGCAGCACAGTTTGCTCTTCTTCACCCATGAAGTTGGATAGGTGTACTGGCTCTGGCCAGAACAGAAATTATTTCCTAAGAGTCCATGTGGTGGTGTATTTTTGATTTGTGGCTAAAGCCAGCGTTGATAACACACCAAAGTTCGGGCTATTGCTGAACAGTGCTTGCACAGTGTCACAGGTTTCCCTTTTCCCACTCTGCCCCCTGCAGTAAGCAGGCTAAGAGTAGGCAAGAGACTGGGAGGGGACACAGCCAGGACAGCTGACCTGGCGGGGACAAAGGGATATGTCATACCATGTAACATTGTGCTTGGCAATAAAAACTGGGGTACAGGAAGAGCCTGGGAGAAAGGCAGTCATTGCTCGGAGACTGGCTGGGCATTAGTGTGCTTGCGGAAGGTGGTGACTGCCTCTGCAACATTTGTTTGTTTCCCTTTTCCTTTCATGTGCTAAACTTAAGCCAACCCATGAATCTTCTCACTTTTGCTCTTTCTATTCTCAGCCCTCTCCCACAGGGCAGGGGGAGAGAGCAAGTGGCTGTGTGGGTGCTTAGCTGCTGGCCTGGGTCAACCCACCACAACTTAGAAACCTGGATGTTACGTTTTTCATAAAGTTACGAAAATGCACTGTGTGTGTCCCTGTGGTTTGCTGGTTAGAGGTCTGCTGTTGTTGCTGGTTTTATTTATCTACTCGGTTGGTTGGTGGGTTTAAGGACATACTCCTTCAGTTACCAAAACACAGTCCATGATATCACATTAGGCTTTCCTGTTATCCCTGTAAACAAAAAACACCGTTCTTTGAATCAGCACCCTACTTGTCGGTGGGGCTCATTTGTTTCACATCAAACTATAAGCCTCTTCCATCTCCTTCTCAAGCAAAGAATTTTCGAATCTAATGACTCCTCTCTCTCTATTCCAAGAAGCGATTTTGATTTCTTTGAACGGATTAGTGTTACTTGTTCTGCTGTCTGTCATTCCCAAAATGCATGGAACAGATGTCTGTTCTCCACAGACATAAAAATGTCACTGACAAAAAAAAAAAAAAAAGTACCTCTGAATTATCCTCTTCAAGATTACAATCCCCTCTAAAGCACTGCCTTCACAGCAGAATTTCAGGAGTAAAGCCAAATATGTCTTCCAAAGACACATGAAAAATCCCCAAGCAGATTCCTGTGGATATCTAAGTAATGCACATGCCATGAAAGCTGCAACCATGAAGGTTCTGTCCATCTTTTCTGAAGGAGATTTTTCACTTTCAATCTAGCATTAAAACTGTGCCACTCTAAGGATGCCACAAAGCTTTTAGATGGCAATATTTAGAAGATGTATTCTGATAACCTCTGAACTCAGTTTGTCCTAACTTTCAGAAGTAACATTTACTTTTTACAGAAAAACAGCACAACCAAAGAACCCAACTTCTTATATGTTGGTCTGATTTACTTAAATTTTTTAGATCTGTAGTCAAGTTGTAACTTCAAGTGCTTGTTCTGAGCAGTTTGTCCAAGAGCAGAGAGCAGCAGTGTAATTAGTTCAGATACCTACCACATTCTACAGTTCTGTGGCTCTGAGATGGCTGTCTGTCTTTATGCCGACTCTTGGGGTAGCTTCTGTGTTCCTGAAGAGAGGTTCTTTTACCTGTGCAGTCTGTGCTTTGAGTATGACCTGGTAAACATGTCGTATAGTGCAATCCTGCCATAGAAAGCATGCCCTGAATAGCTTCTTCTTCAGTACTTGTCGAGGTAGGACATTCCCTAGGGGAAAAAAAAAAAAAAAAAAAAAGGAGTATTAAGCAGTTCAAAACAGAACCCTACATTTCTTGGAAGGAATTATTTTTACACTGGTATAAAGCAGAATTACAAACATGTGCAAAACAGTCTAACAGTTTATAAACAAATGCCCACGATGTGCTTACTTTTTACTGGGAGTTTCATTTCTGGATGGCTTCTGGGTATTTTGACAAAGGTCTCTTGTGACCTTAGATTCCTCTTTGAAATTTGATGTTACTTCCTGTTTCTCTTCATCACCTGAGCTTTCCGACTCCTCTGTGGAGGAATCCTTCTGCTGAAACAAGAGGAAACAGTATGCAGAATGGTCACCATGTGTCCCAAATAGAGATGCTACCTTAATTTATGCTAAGTAAAAAACAAAAACACTTCCAGGTCCAACTTTTATATATATTTAGTATGCGGAATGCAGTTAATTTGAACGCAGCAACTGAGTTGCTGTACATCCAAATTTTGTAACGCTGCTGAGTATATGCTCCAGCAACACAGAAAGCACTTCCAAAATCCATTTTCTAACAGAAAACCCTACACACATTAAGTCATGCACAAATCATTGTATTCTCTTTAAAGAAAGCATTGATTATTTTTATCTTTTATATTCAAAGTAGAGGAAAAAATATGGAAGTATTTTTCCAAGCAGCAGCCAGAACTGATACCTGTTACATAAAATGGGACACAACCCACCCCAAGTAACCATTCCTGGTTCCTGCTCTCACAAAAAATAACTTTCAGCAACAGCATCTCTCTTACGAGCGACAGAAGCTCTCAAGTAAATCCAGAACACAGCAGGAACAGACACACAGCAGCTGTTGCCTCTCTTACAATGGCACAGCTCCATTTCATGAATGAAAGGGCTTTTCAGCTCCTGCTGAGACTACAGTTCGTGTGGGCAGAAGCCTCTCAAAGGTGTAGCAACCTGACAAAAGGAAGCTGAGCCAAAGTTTCTGACAATGCAGTCTGGGATCTAACTTCTCCCAGACTTTGCATGTTCCAGACCACAGCTCATCCACTGCCAGCCCCACATTAGTGACAAAGATGATCATAGAAGTTGGCTCAAAATAGCATATCTTGACATTTCTCCCAAAGCTAGAATAAATTAAGAATGAGGTAGACCCATAAGTTTGAGATATTATCTTGAACAAGAATTACATACTTTGTTGTTACTCTTTTAACACAAACTTTGACCAGATAAATTTGAAGTGAGAGAGTAGTTATGCTTAATTGCTTTGTTAGCTTTTGTGACCTTTCCTCACTATACCTGTGTAGTGCAATCAGGCTCAGATTCTTCTGAATCGGAAATATCAGAGTACTCTGAGGATCCTTTCCTGAGTTCTGATTTCACACTTTCAAAGAACACTGTGGAGAGAAAAATTAAGATTTAAGACCCAACATTTATTACACATAATACTTAACAATCATTTTGGAAGCAAAGAACAAGAAACATACATAGTTTTTAACAGTCTGTAAACAAAGGCACATCCGTACACTGACCTGGTTCGCAGGTCGAGTTTGCCTAAAGCCCTAGGGAGTTGCCTACTGTTGGCCAAGAGATGCCTCAAACAGCTCACTGGACAGAGCAGTGAGCAGGAGCATATGTATGCAGGAACATATATTTTTCTCTCCCATAGAGCACATACTCCAGGGATGGCACCTTGGGCAATTTCTACTTCTGTATATAGGACAGAGTCAGAGAAGTGGCTCTCAAAGTTATTTCAAAGCAATTTTCAACGGTGCTTTGTCTTAAACTCTTTGAAACTGAAATTTCCTTGTTTAAAAATAAAAGCAGTTATACAGAAACATTAAACATGGAAGTCAGAGGTTAAGCGATTTAAAGGTTAAAAAAAATCATGGCATTACTTGCAATTTTACTTTTACATCACAATTTACTGGCATATTCTGCCTGTTTTGTGCTACTACAGAGCTTCCAATCAGGGGTTAAAATGCAGAACTGTTAAAGAAGATTAAAATATTACTGTGATGACACACAATACATTTGCATTAGTTTTCATCACAGAAAGACCTGAAAAAGAAGAAATACCAACCTGAGACATGTTTTTGGCTAGCAGTAAGATAAAGTACTAATCAGAGAATGAGGTGTAGACATCAAAACCACAAAACAATCAATCAAACCAGCCACCTTGTCCACATGGTTTACTTTAAGTGCTGAAAGAACTCAAACGTGAAGTAGCTGAGCAGCTCTTAGAAGCATGTACTCAGAAGACAGCCTATGTCACAAACAACCACGAGCAAGGAACACATTTATAAGGGTTTGGAATCCAAGGCTCAAGGTCAGTGGGCGGTATACCTGTGTCAAGGCTGCTGGCAGAAATCCTGGATAAGTAAAAATCTGTGAATGACTACAATATGCAGTTTAACCAGCAAGTGTGTTTTGGAGAAAAACCAAATAAAGCAAACAAATAAAAATTATGAATGTGTGTCAAGGAATGGATGAAGAAAGCAACCCAACTTTAAGTTTTCAAGTACTTTTAGATTCATGTAAAACCATGCTGAAAGCAAAGCAACATTTTAACTTTGCTTGTCTTCATTCCAAAGCTAATTTCTGATCTGTGCTCGTTTGCTTTCAGCAGAGTTTTATATGAAACTACATACACAGAACACATCTTCATTAACTTATTAATTTTGGAAGCATCAAAGACATATTTGTAACCCTATATACACTGCAATTCTAGTAGGATTTTGTTCCTATTGTAGACTGTGGCAAAGCTCACAAATAGGTGTCAAGTATATTTCAAGGGATATTCTTAATTTCTAAACACTACATAAGTGGAAATTATTTTAAAGCCAGAAGAAAGGTAAGAATGAGACAGGTTATCAGAAAGTCAATCAAATGAACAGCTGGGACCAAAATCTAGAAAAGACTAATTAAAGTTAAGATAGTATTAGAAAGAACTTGAGGAAAGCCCAAGCACAGTAAATGAGCAACAACACTGCATATGTAGTTAAGCTAAATAATGTTCTACATATGACAATAAAACGAGTGTTCTAAATTACTGTAGCTCAGAAACACCCAAGGGATTTCTGATAATTCAAAAAGGCAAACAGGTTTCCCAGACAAGCAACAGCACACATGGTACAGCAAACAGTACCGTTACAGATCTCAAATTAATTTTCCTTTGGACTACCGCCTTGTTCAAAGAAAAAACACTGCTCAAACTTAGGGACAATTTAAAGGAAGGGGCAAGACCAATTAAGGATATTTAAATATACTCCTATGTGGAGCTTCGGATCTTAGGCAAAAAATTAATGTGTAAATAATGAACAACAATTTAAAAATACACAAACTCCATGAAGGCTCCTCAAGAACTTCTGTCTGTCTTAAGAAAGTGTAACAGCCTGACTATTACAATGACAATACTATTAAGAAGAGATATGAGCCTTCATGTAAGAAGGCAAATGATTCAGCAAGACAGAAAAAAACCCTGGACATGTACATAATTAGCTATATACAGATAATACTAAGATTTATAACAGCAATCCTAAACACAGTATCATCCTTCAGAAGCCCTCTTGACTTCTCATAGAGGTTAACTGATGATACCCTACCAAGAAGGGCAAAATATCTGTTATCTGCCTACTGTCTGGCAATATGATCTAGACTGAATAGCTAAAGCCACCTAAAATTATTGAGATGTTCCTGGCTCATCTGGGGCTGGGTACTAGCATATATGACATAACACCCTGTAGGAGCTTCAGGTCTGATCCAGTTTGGCTATGCCAATATTCCTACAGGCAGCCAAATCACTGTCCATTTTTACCGCTTCTTTATTATGCAAGTTCTGTGCAAAGCAGGCAGAATAACTCCCCAATTTTCCTTCCTTCTGCATTATATTGTTCAAAAAGCCAGGGAGGCTGCATTCCTTTATACTCCACTTAAAAACAAGTTTTGGTGTTTTTTTTTTTTTTTTAAAAATCCCAGTTGTGTCACCACCACCACTCCATGCCTCACACACAACCCCCCCACACCGCCAACTACTTTCTACATTCCCCTGCAAAAGACCACTGTACTTTTCTCCCTCTTCTCTTTCACGCACAGGTTTCAGACATTTCCTGATCTTCGCAACACCACATCACGCACTATTATGACCCCTCATCTCTTCATCCATGAACGCCATCTGTATCTGAGCTTTAAAACATTCAATCTAAGTATACAAGTTGTGGTTTGCTTTTTTTTCTTCATTTGTTATTTTTGTGAATTACCTTGGTAATTACTACTGTTACTTTAAAAATTAACTACTCTACCCCCAAATAAAGTTATGGCTCTGCATGCTTCCAGAGACTGGGAGAAAACCTCCAGAAATTGGGTGAATGAAAGCAGTCATTATCTGCAAGATCAGGCTCCGCTGCTGTGAATTCAGAAGGGTATCTTAAGTCACCTTCTCTTCATCCACAAAAAGTATCTTGCTCTGTTAAGCACAGCACTTGATCTCTGTCTCTCCAATAACACACTGTCACCATTTAGAACCAGGAACCTGGCATGACACCTATGTTATATACACCATGATCTGTTTAAAGATCCCTCTCTGTGGACATTGCCCCTTGGCCTAAATCCCAGTAAGAATAATGGAAGGTGGCAGCTGTTACAGAAACAGGTAGTTCCTTTTATGGAGTTTTCTGCAGTGGAGTATTGCTCTTCTCTCCCTCTCTCTCCCTTCAGTTAGGCAAAATAATCAAATGTAGGTGATCTTTCATAGGGAAGTTTGAAGACTCTCACTATTCAATCAAAACTATTAGCAATAGTCCCAAGTACTAAATTTCTGGAAAAAACAACCTCAACATTCACTTCTCATTCTTACAATTAGATACATACTGCCATATTCATTCCGTATCAAATAAAAGTAACAATTCTGAAGAAAATCTACCATTGCTCTGTATTATGTGATCTTTGATTCAAGTGTAAAAACTTAGTTTAATTTCCTTAGCTTAATTTTGAAAGTGGAAATCCACCACAAATGCCTAAGCCTTCACAAGCCGTTTGCCTGGTTGGTTCATGAGTACCCAAGAGGGACCTCTTTCCTGTGCAGTTTTTGTAATACTGTCCTCTGTGACCTTTGGAAGCACAGTCAACAGGGATTAGAAATTGCTTTGTTAATGAAAATAATTAGATATTTTACCCAGACTGACAATAGACTCAAATGTTGTTATGGATTGTTTTGCAGGAAGCAAAGGGAACTGTATGTCTCTAGAGGAGTCTTGTTATCTTCTAAGCATTGACCTCAGTTTCCTAATACACACCCTCCGACCCCTTGTAAGCTCTACTGTGAAAGGATGTGACTTTTATAACTAAACAGAGAGCTCAACAGCTATGTCAAGCACCAATCTGTCCTTGCACACAGAAAGTGCTATTAAAAAATAGGCACTGAAAACAGGCGTTCAGTATTGATACCTTACTAATACACCATGTGACCAGCACTTGGCAGGAAGGTTTAAGGCTACAGAAAGACCAAAAAAAGATTAACTCCTAGTGAAGGATGGTTTAAAGCACTGAAAGTGGGGTTAAAGTGTTTTAGAGATAATCTCAATTCTCCCCAGCCTTGCAGATCACTGCCAAGGCTGAAAGTATAAGACGTTGTTAATGCTAAATTATGCTTGATGTGATGAACTTTTCACACTGAAGTATGTTTTGGTAAAAAAAAAAAAAAAAAAAAAGAAGTAGTAGTCAGCATTCTTATATGATGACCAAAAAGAACAAATACACCAATTAATCCTCTACTCTGAAAAATGCTGCACATGGCATTCAAGATGGCACTAGCATAAAAAGGTGAGTTTTACTTTTCAACTCTATCCTGTTAGCTTCTTCGGTAGACCGATAATATTTGACAAATGTTTTGTTGTAACTTCTAATATCACTTCTCTGATCTATGAGATTATGTCCTTTATACTTTGCTAACATTTCAGTCAGACCCTCTTCACGATGATTAAAATGTTCAACTGATAGGACAAACTTACTGTTCAGTGGTTTCTGGGCATCTGCATTCCCTTCTTCAAATCCTGAGGGCTGGTTTTCTACCTTAACAGTCATCTTTTTTGACCTTGCCCTGTCATCTTCATCTTCACTATCTGCTGTGTAAAGACTTCGATCTGTAAACGGGCGTCTATCATCTCTGTCTCACAAGAAAAAAAGAATCATGTTATTCTTACAAACCTGAAGCAAACCTGTTTTCCTTTCATTATTGACAACGTGCTCTCAAAATACAACAGCAACATCCTCTTATGCTCATCTCTTCATTCCAAGTTGTATGTATTCCCGTCTTACTCCCCTGTCATTTCCATAAAGACGCCAAGTTTTACACCAGAATATTTTTAACGAGAATCACTAATAGATGGATACAAAACAACCATTTCTACTTTGAAGCATTCCGTTCAGTACAAACCCAACCGAGCAAATGAATGAAACGCTGTACAAAATGTGCAAAACACCTCCTCACTCCATGACCGTGGCTCCACTAGGGGACAGCAGACACAACCCACAACACGCTCTTTCTATATTTCTGACCTGAATCCTACTGGTAAAAAGGAACTTGGAGCTCCCACAAACAGACAAATGTTATTAACGATTAGCATGCTCCAGCCCGTAGTGACTAGGGAGAAATGATCCACGATCAACCCTTTGTACCTAATTATTCTTCCATTTGACAGCAGAAGGCGAAGGTCGTTGTCTTTTGTTCGCCATTCAGGTACTGTAGAAGACGGCTGAAAGGGCTTGTTAAATCTCCCGTTCAGTTTCGAGCTTGCAGTGTCCTAAAGAAATAAAAGCAATGTTGCTTATAATTCATTCCTACAAATTCCATTGTTTTTTCTGCTCTCCACAAAAGCTTAAAACTTCAGCACCAGGAAGGTTACCTTCCTGAGAACCAACTGAAGAAAGCTCAGACAAAAGATGTTCGGATGTAAAAAACAGCAGACTGCATCTTTTCCTTTCTTGAACCATCTACACTCTCCTGAAGCATGTGAAACTTCTTCACTACAATATTCCTTTTATGTTTCCTTTGGAGAATTATCACTGCATTCCAAACAAAGAACCACCACTAGAGACAGCGAAGCCAAAAGCTGGGCTCGGAACTGATAAGGCAACTCCCGAACTGGGTATCTGATCCTTGGAATTAGTACCCCAGAACTGATTTAGAGGACAGCAGAACATCAACAGTGTAAAGTAACCTGCCATAAGCAGACTTTCTTAGCTCAAAGCGATCCACATCTGACGTATACTCTGAAGCAACAGACACACTTATGTGCCAACCCAGGAATGTGTAAAATAGTTTTGGTTTTTGTTGGGTTTGTTTCTTTGTTTGTTTGCTGGGGTTTTTTTGGGGTTGGCTTTTTTTGTTGGTTGGTTGGTTAGCTGAGTTTGTATTTTTTTTTTTAAAAAGTCACTACTGAGAGTGACCAATATATTTTTACATTAAATGACAAGGCCTAATACTCCCGAACATTTTATTTTAAAACCTGTTTGTAGCAGTGAACTGCACAGATTAACTACTTGTGGTAAATTTTAAGTTGACCTTCTTGTCTTCAGGGGCTAAATGAATGTCTTGTTCACACCTTACGAAGATCCATATAAGGACGCAAATTTGTATTTCTCCACTATGACAGTTCATCAGTCCCAGCTAAGTTTGTCAGCATTTCTTATTCTCAGGAAGTGACTTATTTCCTTTCAGAAAGTGACTTATTTCCATTCTCTCTCTCCCATTTCTGATGCTGTTTTTTGAAAAAAGATCATCAAACCTAAAAAAAAGAATTTTCCAAGAGGCTACATTTTACCCATGCACTCCATGATGCCTCTGCAGTATGACCACACCGCCCACGGCCCCGCACGGGAGACCAACGGCAGCCGTAGGCTTACTGGCAGGGAGGGAGTGCCATACAGGAAATCGGAGCATGACCCAGAAACAAAGCTAATCAAATCACAGTAAGCAAACTATAAGAAACAGCTATCTAAAAAACACACTGAGAAGCAGTCTGGCTCAGAGCCCCACCAAATCAAGGCTGTGCAAGCTCCCTCTTCTTCACAGAACTGACTCAAAGTACCACTTGATAGCTACAGCAGCCCTAATTCAAAAACTACACTTGGAAGTTGGTAGCAAATTTCGGGCACCTTCTGAACCAGAAGGCTGAAGGAACCTCCACAAAAAAAAATATCAAGGAAGAGAGAAATTCTTATCAGAAAGACTCAAATGAAAGAAACTGAAAACTAATCTAACCGTATCTCAGACAAAGATCAGTAGACTGTATTCTTAAGCATGTTAAAAGCTTTTGCCTTTCCACAGAGATTAGAAATTTACTCTGGTTTTATCTTGCACACAACAATACTTGCCTCCTCCCATGGTGACATCTCCAGTCTTTTCAGTACCTCCCTGGTGTGGAGTTCCAGGATGTCCAGATTAGAAGGAGTTTTGGTAGCATGGTCTCGCAGTTTCCTCACCCTTCTTCTGGAGTGGTGAGGGGAAGCTGTTTCATGTGAAGACCGCGAAGTTGGACACACACCAAGAATTCCCTGAGTTTTAACTAGTTTGCTGTTTTCCTCCTTTAATTAAAAAAAACATATTTTAGAATAGTCTTAAAGGAATAAATCCACATATTTAAGTGCTGCTTCCCATTCATCTAATTAAATGTAAATGGCAAATAAAATTGTTAGACCTTTTAGAGAAATACTACATATCTCCTATTGATTTGATGTACAAGCTTAGGTCTACTGCATCTCTCCCCCATTTAGGGCTTTTAAAAACTCTCCTATGCTAGTAATGCTTAACACCAAAAGTTCCCACCAAAACATAAGGTTTTATTCATGAAGGGAGCATGGGTTAGACACATACTGTACCCCACAAGTCTCATTTGTCTCCAGTTCTGAGAACTGTTCTCTCCACATGCAAATGTGAGCATTTTTCAAGAATCAATATTCATTAAGGAACAGAGTATCAAAGCACTAGTATAGGAGGGGACAAAAGACATTTTAAAAAAACCCACAAAACACTGACTACATAACAAATAGGGCAAAACATAAGAAAAAGAGCAAAAGAGATGACAACTGGAACAGAACTAACAAGAGGGTAGGAGAGTGGAATATGCACAGAATTGCAAATTAAACTCTTGAACAACATATTCACAATAATTATTTCAACTAGGTCTAAGTGAGAACCTTTTAGAAGTACTGACCAACAAATAATAAGTTCATCATTAAAATACTGTTTTTAATACAGAAATCACCCTTGCTATGCATTTTCTTTATCTGAAATACAGACAGCTTAGTATCTCCAACAGTTTTCCTCTTGATCTTCCATTATTAAATGAACGTTACATACATTAGAAGGTGATTACAGTCAATCAGAAGCATAACTACTGTGGCATTTCCCGATTCAAAGATTTTTTTTTTCCTGCAGGCTGACGTAGGTTGCCTCTGTTCTTACCTCTACAGAACGAATCACTTTTGAGAGCTCTTTTATGAGGTGCCCAGGCCTAATGTTGTCTGGAATTTCAAAGGCATGTTCTGTTACAAGCTGTATGCAAAAGGGGAAGAAGATAAATTGAATTCATTTTTTCAGATAAAAGTGTAATACAAAATAAATAAATCCACTGGGAAAAAAAAAATTAAAAGGAAAATGCAGATTAATTTCTGTAGTAAGGACTGCAAACTACTAGGACAGATACACGCACACGCTGAAGCTTCCAGTCCAAGCTTTAGAAGGCAGCAGATATCTGCCTCAATGTCTCTTAAGAATCCAATGAAGGGGTAATACAAAGCCATGCTGACAACCATTTCATTCCCCTCCCCTCCCCAGCAGAGTAACCAGCTTCTTTTTTCCCTTCAGCATGGACAGTATAGAGCCACACTTCAGAAACTCCTCAGTGTCATAACCTTCAAAACAGCTGCAGACTAAGTTCCCCTCCTCTCCCCAGCAGAGTAACCAGCTTTTTTCCCTTCAGCATGGGCAGTATAGAGCCACACTTCAGAAACTCCTCAGTGTCATAACCTTCAAAACAGCTGCAGACTAAGGGAATTTGACTATAGCAAAAATATAATCTAAAGAGCAAATCCAGAATAATCATCAGTAACCAATATGCAGATTTTAGATGTCTCATGTTTTATTGTTTAAAATTACCCTCTTAGCTTACTTAAAACCTAGTAGGTTGGATAAAGCAATTAAAAAAATTCATTTCCTACAAAAATGTTTAGGAAGTAACAGCTTATGTTCCTGTTAATCTCTGGAACAGAATCAAGAGTCAAATTTTGCGTGTGTGTGTATAACCAATCTGAGTAAGTCCAAACACACTACAGTTCAATCCAGTAAAAAAATATGTAATATTTTGTATGTTTGGTGTAAATGTGCCCCAAAAGAGTTTCCATTAAAATTAAACAGATAAAACAGCATTCACATATAGACCAGAATTCTGGTATATCCTTAATTAACTATTTAAATGGAAAAATATCCCCCATGCACTTCCAGCTACCCACACTGCAAGCATGAGATTCAGCAGCACAATTATTGCTAGAAGCAGTCTGATACTCCACTTGAATTTCACTGAACCTGGCTTCCTCTCAATCATTAAAAGGAATGCCCACTCCCAAGCCAAAAAACCAACATGGACGTGTAAACAAGGTATAATGATTCATTTCAGTGCCATTAATTCTACAGGAAAGATGAAACCAGCTGCTATTATTTACCATTGTTCATTCTTCGCAGGCATCACCTCTACACATTCACACTTGGGAACACAGCAGCACCTCTGTCACTAAACTGGATAATTTTTCCAGCAAGCTACAGGTCATTTTAGGACCATTCAGCTCTTTCAGCTTAAGGACTTCACCCTCCCAATAGCTTTTCTGTCCATGAAGACTTCAAGAGCAAGTGACTGATGCAACTCTCCAAAACACTGACTGCAAAGTTTCTCTGGTTTAAAATCACTAAAAAGCCTTCCTAATGCCAACATCGTTTATAGCAGAAGCACATTATTTTGCCAGTATGATTTAACTTATTCATAGGTTTTGTGAATGCTGGAAACACACAGAGGAAAAAGAAACTTGTCTTAAATCAAGAGACACAGTTTAAAAAGCCTTGGTAGGCAAGTGAATCCACCTATTTTTGGAGACTAGCATCACAATGAAGTGTATCAATACGTAAAAGCACACACAAAAAATAAATATAAAATAAAAATAAACCCCACATCCTCCTCCTCCTCATTGAAACACTCAGGGGGTTTTTTTTATGTTTTGGTTTGTTTGGGGGTTTTTTGTTTGGTTTTTTCTTTTACAACAGCTATTAATGTCTTTTTTAAAAACAGAGGACAGTTGCCCAAAATATTCTTGCTGGTATGAATCAAAACATCTGAAAAAATGAATCTGAGACCTGTTGCTGAGACCATGCAAACTGGAAGGAAGCCAGAGCTAAAATCCAAGAGGTCAGATAAACTGGACAGGTCATCATCCTTGTAAGAACTAGCCTGCAGACTGCTGGTCTGCACCAAAGTAATCAGAGGATACACATGCCGATATAAGCCTTGCACCAACTAGAGATTTAAACCAAGACATGAAAACTAAAATAATTTTAGTAGCACTCAATCTCTATTCTCAGCCTTGTAATTCTTGGCAGTTTTTAAATACTGCAGGAATGAAGATAACTGCTGCCCTGCTGAAGACGAGTTTGAAATTCTCCAGCAAAGAGTTTCAAAAGATTCACTCAGATAATTCACCTATGTCCTGAAAAGACATACTCCACGACACACATGTGAAACCCCACGAGTAGGCTTCTCATTTGTGGCATATTCATTTCTTTTTCAGAATCAGGCTGAAATCCCCATCACGAGCAGATCATACAGGAACGTACATAGCTCCTCCTGTCTTCAGCTGCATACAGCTACAATCCTATCACACACATGGCCTGCTGCAAAGAAAGGATCAGCTCATTTATGAAGCGGTAGCTAGAAAAGAAGAACGCCAGGCTCAGAACACGATAGCTGGTGGACAGCAGACAACACTGACTAGATCGCTGATACTGTGCGGTCTCCTCACAACTCCAGTGTCTGTTCAGCACGTGGATTGGGAATACGCACAGGTCTCATTAATAAGCACTCAGAATGCAGAATGTGCAATTCTTTTTTCCACAGGAAAGCAGGAAATGTATCACATTCTAGATGAAGTATTAATCAAACTACTTAATCAGCTACTAGACAGTACACAAATGCTACAATAGTATGCTACAGCAATCTAGAAAAGAGACATTCCAATCCAATTTCAAATTAAAATAAGGATTTATACAGGCTATGTTTGATCTCAGTCATCAGCAGTGTGATTACTTGGCTTACTTACTATCCATACCACAGATGCAGAGATAGCTTGGATTCACACATGGTTTAACAGCTTGGGCACAACATCCTGTAAATACTGCTACACTGCTCACTAGCCAGCTCTGATCCATAACGGCACAGAGACACTGGAAAGCCAACTCCAGTGTTACAGAGGGCTAGCAGAGGTTCACCTGGCATCAGTAATGTTAATACAGGCTAGACCCCAGTGGACTACCCACAAAGTAACCACCCTCTGCCTTTGCACCTCATGTTCAGCTCTACAAAGCTCATCATGTTGGATGCAGCATTGTGCAAATATCCTACCTGTTGTATAGTAAGTTCTCTTACAAGGAGAACTTGAGGGCAGAAAGACCAAACAGATCTCCAAGAGCCAGTTGAAGCCAGCATGGACAGCAACAAACCAGAATTAATAAGCTCAGTCGAAGCAAGTTGCCTGTCAGTGAATAGCACTTCCCAGAAGCACACGTTCCAAGAGGGCTTATTAGCTCAGGCACATGAAAAGATGCATGGAATTAGGCCAGAACCAGTGCTGTGCCAAGCCAAACAAGCTTTCCTGGAGAGCAGAGCACCAGCAAAGCCAGCGTAGACAACACATTAACGGTTTTACAAGACTCCGGCAATGTTC